GATTAGACGGACAATACCGAATAATTAATTTAATATTTGATTCACAATATGACGCAATTATACTATCTTAAGGATAATATTGCAAAGGATCCGACGGCGTGGACCGAGGGCATAGTCCACTGGCGGGCTCCTGTGAGCGTGGTAATGGACCTTCCGTGGCCCGAATGTTTATTCTCTGCAAATTCTTATCAGTTTATTGGCCGTCCTTGTAGCGTACATTCAGCCATTATTTACCAAATTTCCTCACCGCTCACTAATGTGACGTCAAAAACTGCGCCTCCAAAACACGTTTTTACAAGTGTAGGCCGCAGTGCGTTCAAAAGGAAAGCCATCATCTGGCCAGTCAGTCAAGGGCTGAAATCGTGATCTGAATACTAAGAAAATACTGGACAATCACTAGGCCTCCCCCCCCCCCTGCATCAAGATGATGGAGGGGCTCACTCACGAGACGAGAATTGAATATCGAGTACATCGGCTCACAATATTCAGATCGACTGAGCACCTAAAGCACGAACAATAAAAGGAATGATACCTCCATAACGTTTTCCTTTTACAACCCAAAAACCATAAACATCTATGAACCCGTTGCAGGAAGCCGCCCGCGTTTCCCGGTCCCTCCCGCCAGTTATTCTCTACTTCGCGGCTTACACTTAACTCCGGGGGTGCGGAAGTATTTTTTAACACCTGATAGTCAGCTGGTCAGGAGATTCCGTGCTTAATGGAACGCGAAGGAAAATCGTATCAGACCCTATTGTACGCGGGATTAGTCCGACCAGACATTTCACCTTTCTGAAAAAATAATTACAATTCACTGAGGCCGAGAACGCCAAACATCGGGAGAGTTCGAGAAAGGAACGAAATAGAATCGCAGAGTGTGGAGTGTGACACCCTCTAGTCTGCACCAAACAAAAAACATCATGAGACGGGCGAGAGATTTCTGACACATAGACGAGTCGGGAAATGAGGTGGAGGGCGTCCTCCAGCAACCCTCCTCCCATTCACCAGACATACGAGCACACTTGCACTGCATTTTTACAGGCCAACCTGTAGAAATGCAGCCAGTGCCCGAAATTCGTAAACCGCGTGGGTGCATCCCCACTCCGCCGGTGGTTCGCATTCCAGGGCTTGATTTTGAATTCTGCAGCCTACAGAACGTCTCGGTTCCGTCCGGGCACTCATTTCGACTGATAGCCTTCGGTTTTGCTGTTGTCCGAAAACTTAAATTACCTGCTGTGTCTGTGTGCAGTTTGTGACCTCGTCCAGTAAAAGTGACAGAAGCTTCGTCTCTCTTCCCCGTCCGTCGGAGCCGATTTCCTTAAATACGTAGGCAACACCAACATTGCTGTTCATTTTGCGTCGCAAAGACGAAATCATCCCCTGTTCAAGCAACGTAAGAAGAAGGTGTTTCCTGTTTCCTTTGACTCGGCTGTACTCGAGTGTTGGCAAAAGAAGAAGGAGAAGAAGAATAAGAAAGCGCCCTTATAATGACCGCTGTAAAGAAAGCAAGAAAGCCCCCTAGAGACGGCGAAACAGCGGTTTATATGCTGCTGTATGTATAAACTACGGTGTTAAGAAACTGCCCCATACGGACACTCGCACGGCCGGCCGTAGGTAAATCAGCAAATAATGGAGCGGGGATCAGCGGTGCTGATACCCCATTGGCGAGTTCCTGATACTCAAAGAATCTCCATCCCTGCGTCCATTTATCTCGGCTACAGGCCACCCAGAAACACCGTCAACGCACGGCTGACGCGTCTGCAGAATCCCTTGCTCCTTGTTTTATGAGTTAAAAAATCCGCCCACACTTTACGGCCACGCAGCGACAGAGTTCGACGGCTGGACGAGATGTGTTCTAAAAATCAAATACTTTACGGACGGTGCCATTTGGAAATAAACGAAATACAAATTTCAGCACAGCCGCGTGCTCACTCGACAGTATCAACTACCTAATGCGCGATGTAGGACACACGGTTAGTGCTCTTTATTTTTGGAACGCTCTGTAGATTGTGTAAAATGCGCAAAAAACAGGGATGTGACAACTGGTTTACGATATGTCTAAAGGTGATTTCATTTTAAGTTCACAGCAAATCACAAGGTGTTAGAAAAATGGGTGCTCGGGAGGATATTTTGACCTAGGAGGGATGAAATTAGTGGGGGAATTTCGAATACTGCAACACGGGTGAATGGTACGGGTCACATAACATAGTGAGGGTAGTGAATTTTAGGAGACTCCGATGGGTTGGCCATGTAGCACGCATGTGGGGAGAATGCAAGGGGTGCATTCAGGATTTTGGTAGCGAATCCTTCTGGAAAACAACCACTGGCCAGACCAAGAAGGAGATGGGATGATAACATGAAGATGGATCTCAGGGAGGTGGGCTGTGAGGATGGCAAACGGATGGAGTTGGCTCAGGATCGTTCTGCTAGCAGAGAGTTAGAGTTGTTGCAATGCAAACGTCTCACAACACAGTGCTGATATCTTGTTCATCTGTACCGAAACTCCGTGGCGCGTGCAGAACTGAGCGACACGGAATTTAATTTGTCGGCGGCTTTAAAAAATAGCAGCACACGGCCATTCATACAGACTAAAGGGGCATTGACTTTGCAGGATATAAACGTTGAAGGTCGCCAACTCAAACGGTTAATATATTAAAACGTTCCATTTAAAACTTGTGTGCGCGTACAGGCCTGGGATTCAACTCCGCACAAAACCTCACGAAGCGACGCCTAGGTCCAGTGGCACGTCTGTTTATCGCCATCAACCTAACCTAACCTAACCTAACCTTCGAGAGACGCCATACAGTTTAAATTCCAAGAAAATGAACAGACGCTTAATATTTCTGCACGAATTTTAATGCCGTATCCAAAATCAGGCGGTGGTAACGTCGTTCCGAACCCAGACCTTCTCAAGGTCAATTACAAATTGTAATGCCGCCTACTTAATTATATTCAAACCAAACTCCATGGAACGTGGGGAGGCGACAAGACGAGACTGAAGTAAATTCCACAAAAGCACCTGTCACCGAAGGGACTTCGCCCCTGCTCACAGCGTTTCTAGCTTCGGTACGCTGAAAGTTATGAGCTGTCTTCACTCGCCTGTGCCCCGCTGTCCGCGTTTCAAATTTGTGAACACGCAATACGCAATTAGGCGAAGGACGCCACAGTGGGCACGTGACAGCGCATCCATTTGCGTTTGCGTAGTCTCAGGTTGGCCCGCGAGGTTTTTGAATATTCACGGACTGTGACTGACGAACGTCGGTCTTCGCCCTGGGCGTGCCTGTACAACGAGGAGTAAACTGCAGGCCGCGACGGCTGCGTTGCCATGGCGACCGCATGAGGCAGACCGGTCGGTATTGACTGGCACAGTCGCTGTTTGCAGCACTAATTATTAACCGGCAACATTTATGAATCGGTAATTATGGAAGCGCAGAGCGACGACAGCGTCGGGCATCGCCCCCCCCCACTCCCGTGCAAGACTACTGCGGTGGGCTGACCCCTCGTCGAGAAGTGCTATGAAGATGCCTGCCGCCAACAGGTCGAACATTAGTAACCTCTGGCTCAGGCTCTGAGTCATTTGAGAGAAAGGAGTCGACGATGACTTATAATGCTAAACAACAGAAATGAGACGGCGAACGACAATGCATTGCGGCTGGGAAATTATGTTCATAGTGTGGAGAGGTTTTGCTGCCCGTCGCCCCAACCCAACCTAACCTTTCACTTATAACGGTCCTCAGACGCGCAAATTCGTCCCATGGTTCAGAACGCAGATGTGGCCCTCTGAATGTGAGAAGTGGACCACAGCGTCGACCAGAGCACAAAACTCTGAGGACGTCGTCCGCGGTCGAAACTCCACTCCACAGGAATTCTGTTTGAACGACGACCACGCGAAACTGTGACGGTACATCTGACAAATTCAACGCGATCGCACGTTCAGTAGTTGGGCGCGGTCGCCGGGTTGGGAAACACCACTCCAGGGTAAGCACGTGTGCGACACGAGTGTGGCGGACAGCTGGGCGACTGACCGGAACATTTCCTTCTTCCGGTCGCTCCAAACGCACTCAACAGGAAAATGCTGACAACGAGGTAACATTGTCTGCGCCGGCTTCCTATAGCGTAGGCATTCTGAATCGCGGGAAAGTTGGAGCTGCGATCAGTTAAATCAGGCTCTGGAGCCGGCAGCGAGTCAACAAGGCATTTGTTCGCATTGTGGTCTTCAGGATACCACCTACAAGACTAAAACACCCATGACCGGAAAAACCTACGCTCTCGCAGAGTTATTAATCTGTTCTGAATCAAGTTAAGGGCTCAAACTGCAATACCCAGTCTGATGTAAAAACTATTGCCTGAAACAATAACATGTCCTATTAAAACGTGTCCTCTCTAATTTTGTTTGCTGTTCAATATGACGTAAAACTTGGTCTCTGGAAGAACTGCGTAATGTGTCTATGGAGGGGGCGTGGACGAGATTTTTTTTGCAAACTGGGAGAACGCTTTCGGGAAATGACTTCCCACGCCCATCCTGCACCCAGCAGCCTCACTCCTAACCGCGCTCATTGGCGCCCTGCATTGCTCGTCGTTCGGTAGTCGAAAAGTCCCATGAGAGCGACGCCTTCCTTCAAGTAGCCACAGTCACGTAACTTCTTGTGTCCTTTTTGCGATAAATGTGCTAAGACTTCTTGCAATAGAGACTATTATTAATGGCTTAATTTTCATTTAAAACAAATAAAACCTAATTTAAAGCAGCTGAAATTACAGGTCTGCCAGAAATATGGTCCACTCAGACACTCGTGACAACTGCACTACATCAAGCAGATAGACTTAATTACTTAATTAGTTCAATTCCATATTAATTCGTTAGCAAGAGGTTATAATGAGTTTTATATTAATGCGGGGCAACAAACTTCACAAAACGTTACTCGGAAGACAACGAGTTTACAAAACAAAAGAGAGAATTCCCACAATGCACGAGATTGTTAAAAGGAGAACAAGTGACGACTTACCGCGCGTTGCGGGCGAAACAGGATCTACGTCCATTCTTCCTATCGGATCAGAGGCTGGAAAGAAAACGGTTCGCGTGAGTTGGCTTAATTCACAGTGGCACATCGACTCATCGTTAAGCTACTTTGACAACCATGCGACGATGAAATCCAATTAATTAAATGCATTTATTCGTGGTTTATACAGCGTCGAATGAAGGGGTGGTTAATGAATAACAAATAGATTGTAAGATATGTGAAAGTGGCTGTGACATTATGTAAGTCTCCGGGCTGAAATTTGTAAACGGGACTCCCCGATTATGGAACGGGAATGCTTGTCGCTTCCTGTTCGTCATTCGACTGGCCACTCTAGTGCTGACAACGTTTCTACGAAACTCAACAAAATTAACAAAGTTTCCTAAAAATACGTCAGACTTTTGCGCCTCGACATTTTGCAAATACAAGAAACGGGCCTACGCGGGGCATCAGCCAGTGTTCAGGGAACCAAAGTGACGCCCTCTTCTTCAGTTCATACCAGAGACAGAGATTGTGTACACGCAATTCGTGTGTGCAGGTGACGCCCCCTAAAAACTCTGACATGTGAACTCATACACGTAAAAATTATAATTACTTAAATTTTCCAGAAAATTGACAGTCGAAAGTGTCTTTGTATCATACCGGGCAACTGTTAATAAAATGAGCAGTGGTTGATAATGTGGACGGGGTGGGGGGTGGGGGTACCGAAAGATGATTCACTTTTCTGATCCAATACATTCTGTTAAGACTAACACGCCACACGCCTATTCAAAATCAAGAATACAAGTCCCACCCAAGCTTTCAAGACTTAGTGAATGGATTATGTTACAAAACTGTTTAAAACTCCATTATATAGTTAAATAATATTTAACTATATAACCTTCCAAACCTGACCAGAAGGAAACAGACAGAAGCACGATGCCATTTCCGGTTCCTCCACTGAAATTAAAACAGCGCTAACCGGAGATTCCGACGTAAATACTATTACGACCGGTGACTCAGAAGTTTAAAGAAATCTGTACGCCTTTTATGGAGCCCGAAGGCCAATTTGGTTTCAAAAGAACACGCCACTAGACATCCTGAGCCAGCTGAGCGCAGTCCACGCCCTGGACACACACGGGCAGGGGGGGGGAGGGGGAGGTCTTTTCGTCTGTAACAAGGAACATGACTTTACTCTCTCCTGTAGCGTAAAGAATTAGAACTTTCGAGCTGTTTCCCGAATTACCTTAACTCGTCCGGATTTTGATGCGTTGCATAAAAACAATTAAATTCGTGTAGCTGCTTGTTGTACAACGAGTTCACTCAACGCAACTGTCACTCCCCCGCTCCTGGCCGGAACCGCACGACTCACCGCCAAGCGCTACAAGATTTTCCCGATACCTGTCAAGTATCGCTCCATTGAAACAATAAAATCGAACTT